TATACAACACAATTTTATTTTAAGAAATACCATAAACATCAAAAACACAATAACTATATATATATATATATATATATATATAAGGAACAATACTGTAAATGCACTTCTTTGAAACAATTACAACTAACTATATAATTTGAACCAGAAAAGTTATTACTGTATTATACTTACAATCCTAGGATTCCGAGAAGCCAAACACCTAAATATGGTTTCATTCCTCAGTAGTACAATTTAATGGGCTGGCCTCAGTAGTACGGTTCAGTGGGCTGGCCTCAATACTGATAGGACTAAGTCCCCTTCCTTCGGTCCCACTCGGGCACTCCGCGGCTTCAGCGTGAACGGGAGTTCTTGTTCACGGAGAGGGTGGTTCAGGTGATCAGTCTGATCTGGCCTACACTTGCAATTTTTCCTTCGGTGTTCTGCAAGTGAGGTTACCTCCAAACTGGGACTGTAGGTTACAGTTTTTATTGGGTGAGTTGCTGTCTTGGGCCCCTCCTACCCAAACCTGTCACTACTCCCAAATTTGGGCTCAGATCTTACTCAACAGGTTTTTTGCTAGGTGGTCAGTTTGTCTTAAGTTTTGCTTTGGAAGATTTTCCATACCAGTGCGGTTACCTTTCCTTTACCAACCCCCTTTCAAAAGGCATAGGGTTTTGATCTCTTGGAATGTTTGCTTAAGGGTCGTTTTTCTGGTCCTTGGGATAACTTGTTAAAGGCCTCTAGAGAGAAAATCGAGGAGCCAAGACTTTAAGCACGTTTGTTGTAAGGCCAGGCAAAACGAGCAACGAACCTAGATAAGAAGATGAACCTCGCCCTTTTGTTTAAACTGGCTAATGGGTAGCTGTTACAAGCATTCAAACTATTACATTCAATATGACAAAACGTACCCCTTTATTTTACGGTTGTCAACAGACCTATTAAAGTAATCTCAAGCTCTGCAGCTGCTCTGATGGTCAGTCAAGAGTTGCACATATCCAGCACCTCTTGCTTTTCCCTCCCTCCACCCCCACCAAAAAAAAAAAGAAAACACTGTCTTCGTGCCCTCATTGCTTTCCTCCTTTAAGTAGGTTTTCAAAAGGATTGTCATGTAGGACTTGACAGATTGGACTTGGGACACCCTGCCATAACTTGTGAATTGCACAGCATCCCATTTCAGAAACTAATTTATTTATTACCATTCTTGCTTCCAGGCAGAAAGGCTGGGCAGTGGGGGCAGGGCGGCAGGCAGGCAGGAACAAACCTGCATTTATTTACTTTTACCTGCTTATCTCCTTTCACGTTGCAGCACCCTTCAAAAGATTTCGTGCTACTCCAAGGTGTAACGCACTGGTGCTCAGCTTATCTGCCTGGATGAGTGGTGTGGAGGTGGTCCAAAATGGGGTCAACACATAGGGTTAGTCCACAGGTGTAATCGGGCATGCTAGGACTATCCCTGCATGCTGGACCAAGTCCTCTGGCCTGTGGGGGCTCCCTGCGGGTCCAGAAATTTGGTGGCAGGGGAATGGTGGCAGCATTAATTTTACTGCAGCTCTGGAGTTGGCCTGTGAGCAATAGATTAAGCACCCCTGCTTTAGAGGTAAAGTGGTAATTATCTATCACAGCTCTGTTAATGCTCCTAAAAAAGGAAAACGGAGCCATTTTGGAGGTTTTCCATTAGACCATTTCTGTGTCTGAGACAAAACAGTAGTATGCCTTGACCTGCCTGTAATGTTGCGAGTCAAAGATTCCTCGATACTAAGGCGCAGAAGGTCCTCCACCAGCTTTACCTGTGCTGTGTCGTCCCAGACCAGCTTTTCACTTTGAACAGAAAAGGTCCAAGGTATTGGAGTTGAGTAGAGGTAGGTCTTTTGTTGTTGTTGTTATCTTAATCAGAAATATGATATTTAAACGAAAGAATGATTAGTAAGATTTGCTGGGTCTGGAAATGTTGTTTTGAGAAGTGACCACTCAGTACGCTTTACAGTGATTATTCAACTTTTTTCAGGCAGTCCTAGATACTTTTCACTATTCATAAGAGCATGGGCCTGAGTGACAGGGGAGGAGTTGTATTATTTCACCCTTCCTAATGTGTTGATGCACATTGTTTAAGTACAGCTCAGTGCACCTTTGATGCTTCTTGTCTGCAGGTGAGAGAACCTCTGTGAACTACAGTGCAAAGTGTTGCCCATTCATATTGTATGGAACTGGCTTTCTGCATTGGCATGCAAGCAGTTTGGATCAATAGATAAAACCAGGATCCAAAAAGTTCTGAGTAGTATGAGTTAGCTGGTAAAATACCATAATAGCAGGGAAAGATCTGCTAGTTAGGGCTATGTGAAACGGCACCGTTCTGTTTCAACTTGCATTTCAATGTTTCGACGGAACAGCGTTTCATTTTGAATTTCGTTTCAATTGGAAACTGCTGTTCCGTTTCATTTCGTTGAAACAGTGTTGCTGTTTTGACTCTATTTCAACGTTTCGCCCATAGGCTATAATGGGGAAGCTCGAAACAGCCTATAAGTTTGTCATTTCTGGCTTGATTTGGATGAAACTTTCAGGAACGGTAGCCCCTTCTGAGGGCATGAAGCCTGCCTAGTTGCAAGGAGGTAGGTGCAGGGGTTTCAGGGAAACTGTACTTCAAAGTCTTGAAAGCAAAACACTCATGTCACATGTATGTGTTAAGCCACAGTGGGGTCAAAACTGCAGGCATGCTAGCCCCTGCTGAGGCAGCGAA